TAATAATAATAATAATAATAATAATAATAATAATAATGATATGTACTTTAGTACAAAAATAATATTGCTATGGTATTTGAAATGTTACAAGTAACACTGTCAGTTGTACGCATATAAAACTGATCTTGAAGCTTGTGCAAGATCTGAAAAATCTCAAAACAACTTGATCATTTGCTGCCATCTAATGGAATATTCTCAAAAAACAAACATTGGAGTGAGTTACTATGCAGAATCAGCACTGTGTCAGTTCAGATTATTCCTCCTCAAGTTGTCAGAAGTTTTTGATGCAAACAGCATTAAATTATGTGGCTCTGCATTTTTTAAAATTGATTTCTTGAAGTGTCCTTCAACTGAGTAATTGCAGAATGGGGAATGCATAATCCCCAGAAATCACTAGATTCATCATCTCTGTTTATGGAATTTGTCTGGTTTGAAATCCAGCAGTCTCTGGCAGGCTACAAACTTCCATTCTCCAAGTTAATCAATACTAGCTGTAGTAGTCATTGTCATGTTTAATAATGCACTTAAATGAGCAAGATTTCCTTGTTGGTTTAGGGCAGGGTTGTCAAACTTGCTGCGTCACGTGACATGTCACGATGTATCGCAACTTTTTTCCCCTTGCTGGAGCTGGGGTGGGCATGGCTTCCACGTGACACATTCGGCCTGCGGGCCGGCAGTTTGACACTCTGGTTATAGGGCAACTGCTCATTGGGGGTTCCAAGGGCTCAAGTGAAGCAAATGACACATGTTGATGTGATTATGAAAATGCCTTGACTTAGTTATTTTAATCAAATATGCTAGTGCAAGTACATAATTGTGGCATTTGCATAATTACCTCATTGCTTGCTTGTAATTTTTTAGATAATATGTGAGGCACTTAAATCAAAGTTTTCTTTGGTTAAATGATCAAATCCTATTCCTCAATCTTTGGCAGAAAAAACAGTTAAAAGATAGGTTCCTGAGAAACAGCCTGTACTGATACATACAGAGATCATTAAGTCATATTATTTTCCTGATATGTAAGTGATTTTTAAAAATATTTTTTATTCCACCTTTATTATTTTTTATAAATAAGTCATGATGGCAAACATACCGTATTTATCGGCGTATAACACGCACTTCCCCCCCCTGAAAATAGGGGGCAAATGATGTGTGCGTGTTATACGCCGATATAAGAAGTACCGTATACACCAGACATGTCCAAAGTCCGGCCCGCGGGCCATTTGCGGCCCGTGGCCCGGTTTAATCCGGCCCTCGAACAGCCCTCCCTGCTCTATATAAATGCGGCCCTCCCACGGCCCTCCGGCAAGTCCCATGAGAGAGAGAGAGAGAGAGACAGAAGTCTCTCTCTCTCTCTCTCTCTCTCTCTCTCATGGGACTTGCCCCCTCGCAGGGCTCCTCATTGGCCCTGCGCCCTGTTACCCAGCTGCAAGCCACCATCCGCCCTGTGGTTATAAGTGTCCCGGCAGTTGGGACCCACCCCTCCCGGAAGTCAATCAATCCTTGGCAGTTCTCCGTCCGGCCGCGGCTTTCCCCGGCCGGCTCCAGCAGTTCCGTCTGATTGCCGGCACGTGGCTGTTTCTCCCTGGCAGCCTCGGCCCCCCCAGCCCTGTAGGTGAGCGCCCGGCAGGGCGCAGCGTCGCCAGGCCTCCCCCCCCTTGCGCGAGGCTTCTGGCGTTCCCCCTCACGCCTGGCTACAGCGGCTCAGGGTTTCCCGTCCCGGGCACGCCAGGCAGCGCTGCAGGGAACGGAAGGGAGGGGGGGAGGGCCATACCTGGAGCTCCGCAGGCCGGGGCGACGCCGGGAACGAGCTGGGCGGCGGCGGCGGCAGGAACAAGCTGCTCGGCAACGGCAACGGGCCGGGTGGCAGCGGCGGCGGCAGTCGGCTAGCGGTCCCCCAACCCTCACCCGTGAGTGGCAAGCCCTGTGGGGCTTGACAAAGAAAAGAGAAAGAGAGGAGAGAGGGAAAGAGAAAAAGTGGAAAGAGAAAGAGGAAAGAGAAAGAGGGGAAAGAGAGAGAGAAAGTTAGAGGAAAGAGAGGAAGAGAAGAGAAAGAGGAAAAAAAGAAAAAGAAAAA